ACCGATCGCACAGTATGTTGGGTAACAAAAATAAGCCCGGAGGGCTGTCTTATATGCCAATTTTTTATATTCTTTGTACCTTTTTTTTCTAGAACGGTCTAGATGCCGGTCTAGATGGGGAAATCTAGACCGTTTTCAATATTGATTTCAGCCAATCAAATTCGTGAGTTCGGTAGTTCCCAGTCCTTGTGAGACACAGCCATATAATAAGCTTCGGTAATGTATAAAGTAGCACAACACAGGACAAAGACAGTCGCCAAAATAGCGTTAAAACGACAAGGCGGCCACGGAATAAAGGTAATAGGTCTAACACGTTACATTCCTCGCTTTTATTATCCTTTTTATTTTTTCTCCCTTTTTTTTTTAAACTTCCCCTTTTTTTTCTACGGCACACGTTAACGCTTAAAATTTAATCTAAATATAGGGGTCTGGTGATACCGTTTAATCATGACCTTTAGACCCCAAAATCACACACGGTACGCCTGGGCCGCCTGCGTTCGGAGACAGATAGGCGCAACATGTGGGTGTTTTCCACTTTTGTAGGCAATCGAACTTGCAATATCCGTAGAGCAACTTTGGGAGCCATGGAGCAGATTGCTGCTAATGCAACATAAGTCAGTTGCTCAGCAGACTTATTCTTGCATTTTCTGAAATCTTGGTAGAGTAAATAGAGTATCCCAAAGATACTCATCGGAGCGACCATCTTCAAGGTTTCTGAAAAATTCCTCCATCATTGAAATGAGATTCAAATTTTGTCTGCGCTTGTTGAAAATCTCAATCATCGAGCGCAACAAATCCACATTTACAAAGTTTGCAAAAATAGTTTCAGGCAATTCACGAAGGCTGCCCCAACTCTGAGAAGGGCCAACTAGGAGCTTTGTGTGATTTGGAATTAATGCCAAATTCTCTTCTATGCATATTGACAACTCTGGAAGATCGAAAAACGAAAAGCCATCGGCGACAAGAAAAACGGCCATTAAGGTGAAATTCTCTACAGGAGAAACAAATCAATCAAGTGATCAGTACTATAAGTAAAAAAAAAACGTCAAGAATTATATTGGCTGTGATCACACTAGACTTTTACCACGGGGAAACCGATTTACCTGGGAAAAATTTACCTGAATTCACCCAAGGTTAGTTTATCTTGGGTTTCAGTTTCCCAAGATCAAAAATCACACCAACCTTTGTCACCGGTATCTAGTTAAAAATAACTAAACACTCAAATTGGCAAAATATTTTGGTGCGTAAATCAAATCGTAAACATACTATCTTGATCGCTGTATGCGTTGAAAAAATTAAAATTAAATTAAATGAGAGAAAAAAAAATCATATCCTTGAGTTTCTATAGGCCTCCTCTCTAAATGAATATAACACAGCTAGTAACCAACCATGGATTCTTACAGTCTCGGCGTTACAGACATTAAAGTTGAGACTGTGAGCCCACGCAAATTACTAGATATGTAAAGTCTTACGAATTCGCACGTGCGCCTATCATCTATATTTATTTCGTGCGCGTGTCACTTGCAGTTATTTCGTGACCGCAAGATGCAGGTACAATTGACCATTTAAAGGTACACTTGACGATGGACATGAAAATGACACCAAAAAACTACAGGCGAAAATAGACGTTGAACAGGAGACATTTTAAAGTCATCTTGGATTCAATTATGAACTATACTATACTAGGTTTGTGTTGAACGTTGTACTCTATTTTCAATTTAAATGGCAAGGGAGGAAGGGGAAGCTTGAATAACAAATGAATGAAAGATCACAGATCAAATAGAGAATGGCCTTTTTGTAATACTCCGACATAACGGAGCGGTCGGAGACAAAATTTGAGGTATTTTCTTTGCTGTGTAGTCAACAAACCTTGATTCTGGATCCACGTTTTCATAGTTGTCGATAAAGCCGTTCTGGCTTTCTCGTTTTCCTCCTTCTCAAGTTTCTCCATTCGCTCTTCCTCCACAGTTTTGATTCGTTTCTGTAAGAGCAGGGGCAAGCGCTTCTCTCTTTCCTCCATCAGTCTCTCTCTTACTTTTCTCGCCAACTTTATAGCTTTAGAGCACTGACGTGTTTTTTGGGGAATTGCCGATGCGATTACAGCCACTTCGTTCCGCGAATTGAGATCTTTGAAAAACGCTTCAATCTTTTCCACGATGTCCCTTTCACCGCTATCATTAACAACTAAAACTGCTAAATTTGTGTGATACTTTGTTGGTCGATCATCTTGTAGCTTTTCAACTTCCTCTGGTGAAAGAGCAGGACGAAGTGAACGAGGTCTTCCTTCCTCAAGAATGTCAAGTAAATCATACAACTGCAGCGCTTCAAAACACTCTTTTAACACGCCAACAGTCGTTGCAGGAAAACACTTATGAATAGTATCACGCGTCGCATCTTGGAAAAAGTTTCCCTTTAATCCAAAGAAACGAGTGAATTTTCCCCTAACAACAGGGTCATTCCACATTTTTCTATGCAGCATCTTAATGGCATCTTCATTCAAATCTTTCAAGTAAAGCTTGTCGATGTCTGTTGTAAAACATAAAGATTCATAATCAATATGTATAGGTAATCGCAGGGGGCCGAGTAAAATTAAGGATTAATATCACTTGTGTTTTCGGAAGTTTCTGAAATTGCCCGAGTCGCGCAGCGACTCGGGCAATTTCTGCAACTTCCGAAAACACAAGTGATATCAATCCCAAATTTTACGAGAAATCCTGTGATTACTTGTTTATAATATAAGGGGCAAAATGTTTTCTTACTGATCTCGCGCTAAACGGGACGTCATTGTTACAGAACAAACAGAAATTTCTTTACCTTGGCAGCAGTTGCTATGCGATTTTCAGCCAATCGTTTTCAAGTAATTTTGCCCGGGGCAATTACAAAAATTAAGAAAAAATGCCCTCTGTCTTGACCAATCACAATTCAGTAATTTTGCCCCTTATATGATAATAAAAAGGTAACATGAGGTTCCTTTATATCAATTACCACTACGCTACCTTTTTCGTGCCTAGTCACAGGCAGCCCAGGCTCACTACTAGAAAAGCGAACGTGACTCTTACCGTGTGGCGCAACGTTTTATATTTATAAAGGTTTGTATGGGATGTTATCGGTTTGCCTTAAAAGAGAGAAAAAAAATGTCTTGTTTTGAAATAAAATGG